TTGGATTGAGATTAAAGCATAAAAATTTTAGCTTTCTCTCTTAGCTTTTCAATGCCTCAAGAATTACCTCAATCCGAATTTTGTAGGCAGAGTTATGACATTTTTTTCAAAACAGTAGCAAGCAGTAAAACTGCTGCTGCTGCACTGATGTTGCACTGCTGCTGCTGCATTTTGGCTAATTTTTGAGGGCCTTCTGGGCTGAACTAGACTGAGGTCAAAACATAAAAATTGTAGATCATTTTTTTGCCTTTTCAAAACTTCTTGAATTTCCCCAATCTGAGTTTCCTAGCTCCAGTTATGAAGATTTTTCTCTGGGCTACTGTTGTTGCAACTCCACTTGCACCTCAAAAATGACATTTCCTTGAAATTAGGCTCCAATTAAGCTTGGATTGACCCAAAACCCTTCCTAGCAAATTTGTTAAGCCACAATGAACTCTATAAAAGATTCAGGCTTGGTCTCTAAACCTCATTTTTTGATTTAACCCTCCACTGACCTAGTTTTCACTTGAAAAGTTGAAAACTTGAGTTCACTTCATCTCAAGCAACAAATTCCCTTGAATTTACCCAAAATCACCTCATGCAACTTTGTTAAGTTGGATTGGAATAGATTAAAGTCTTGAAACTAGTTTCCATGCTCCACATTGCATTTTGACCTATTGAAGTCCAAATTGACCAAAGTGAGAAAACTTGAGATTCAACACAAAAACTCTCAATAAAGCTTAATTTTACTAAAAATTATTAATTTCACTCAAATTAAGAGAGAATAAAGAAATCAAAAGAATTTAGGCATTTTGTATCCCATTTTAGCTTAAAGTAGTGAAAAATACTTGATAAATCCAATAAAATTAAGCACAAAAGTATAATGTAAATTGGATTTATCATGGCCTCTTGGGAGAATTGATGACTGCATCTTTGATGCACCGCTAGTACTAGTACATCTGAGAACTCTAATTGATTAGTTGTAAATAGCCCCAGGTCTATGGAACAAAAGATTATGCCGGACCTACACCGAGGTATTGATAGTGATTCTTAAATATCGTAGAACAGAATATGATACGATGAGATAGAATGCAATAGAAACAAAGACGGGGAGGAGGTTACCTACTCTTAACGGTCAAAGCGAGCTCTTTCATTCTGAATTCTTTAATTTAGAATGAATCAAATCTCTCCAAGTAGGATTCGAACCTACGACCAATCAATTAACAGCCAACTGCTCTACCACTGAGCTACTGAGGAACAACGGAGATTCGATCTCATAGAGTTCAATTCTCGTTCTCAACCCATGACCAATATGAGCTCGAAGCTTCCTTCGTAACTCCCGAAACTTCTTCGTAGTGGCTGCCTTCCATGCCTCATTTCATAGGGAACCTCAAAGTGGCTCTATTTCATTATATTTCATCCATATCCCAATTCCATTCATTTTATATCCCTTTGGTGTCATTGACATAATAGATGTCATTTCTAGTCTATCTCTTTATACGGAAAGTGAAAAAATCATCATATAATAATCTAGAAATTGGAATAGAAAAGAAAAAGGGAGGTTTGTGATGCTTTTAAAATCTTTTCTACTAGGTAATCTAGTATCCTTATGCATGAAGATAATCAATTCAGTCGTTGTGGTTGGACTCTATTATGGATTTCTGATCACATTCTCCATAGGGCCCTTTATCTCTTCCTTCTCCAAGCTCAGGTTATGGAAGAAAGAGAAGAAAGAACTAAGAAGAAGGTATCAACAACAACTGGTTTTATTACGGGACAGCTCATGATGTTGATATCGATCTATTATGCGCCTCTGCATCTAGCATTTGACAGACCTCATACAATAACTGTCCTAGCTCTACCCTATCTTTTGTTTCATTTCGTCTGGAACAATCACAAACACTTTTTTGATTATGGATCTACTACCAGAAATTCAATGCGTAATCTCAGCATTCAATGTGCATTTCTGAATAATCTCATTTTTCAATTATTCAACCATTTCATTTTACCAAGTTCAATGTTAGCCACATTAGTCAACATTTCTATGTTTCGATGCAACAACAAGATGTTATTTGTAACAAGTAGTTTTGTTGGTTGGTTAATTGGTCACATTTTATTCATGAAATGGCTTGGATTGGTATTAATCTGGATATGGCAAAATCATTCTGTTAAATCAAATGTACTTTTTCAATGTAATAAGTACCTTGTGTCAGAATTGAGAAATTCTATGGCTTGGATCTTTATCTTTAGTATTCTCTTATTTATTACCTGTGTTTACTATTTAGGCAGAATACCGTCACCCATTCTTACTAAGAAATTGAAAAAAACCTCAAAAAGGGAATAAATGGTAGAAAGTGAGGAAGAAAGAGATGTAGAAATAGAAACAACTTATGAAACGAAGGCGACTAAACAGGAACAAGAGGGATCCACCGAAGAAGATCCTTCTCCTTCCCTTTTTTCGGAAGAAAAGGAGGAGCTGGACAAAATCGGTGAAACGGAAGAAATCCGAGGGAATGGAAAATAAGATGAATTCCACTTTCACTTTAAAGAGACATGCTAAAAAAATAGCCCAATTTATGAAGCTTCTTATCTGGATGGGAATCAAGAAAATTCGAAGTTAAAAAATAAAGACCTCGTACTCTTAGGGTTTGAATTGTTTGAAAAACATCTTGTAACTCTTCTATTCAATTATAATTGATGGAATCAACCATCGCGATACATAAAAAATAATCGATTTAAACCTGCTATAAGAAACGAAATGTCACAATATTTTTTTTATACATGTCCTAGTTAGGGGTGAGCACGGGCGGGTTCGGGTGGGTTTATACTAGAAAATTAACCCGACACGACAAGGGCAGATGACAAAAAAATAAAACTGAACATGCCTAATTATTGTTATAAACTATGCAGTTCAGTTTGGTTAAATGCGGGCAGATTGGCAGGTTAATGTATTGTGTTAATTAGCAATGATTCCAAAAAGTGAAACAAGCTAATGCTTTTCTCGTCATCAGCAAAGTAGTACTACTTCTATAATTTGATACAGCAGATTTAAATAATACTAATCAAAAGAATCAAAGAGTAGTAAGCATCCTATTGATTTTAATACAGCATCTAATAGTTACAATCAGAGAGTAGCAATCAAAGTGTAATGCAGCAGTCAATCAGAGAGTAGCAATCACAAGTAATACAGCAGTTAATAGTTACAAGCTACATCCACACTTAGCAGTGCAATACTGTTTGTTCTAGCATGCAAATTTACATTTCCTATATATATGACCCTCCTATTCTCTCTTGTCCCAAATGCAGAACCTATAAGTTACAAAATTTGCTTCACGAAGCTTAGCTAGGAGCAGCAAGTAACAAGACAAAGTCTCTTACTAGAAGTCTAGGCAATGTACCTGAAAGTTGTCCATATATGAACACATGCAGAGCATGGCTAGTTGTCTACACTATCATTGTGGGAAGTTCACCGTCATGCAAGAAGGATTCAAATGTATTGCTATTAAAACACTGTAAAAATGATAGGAAGAAATTAAAATCATACATGAAAAAACATTGAAACTTGCATTGGTATCGTTGAACAATTCTTGTTAGATCATATGCTTTCCTCGTTTCAAGTAAGTTGGAAGAAATTATCAATTTATCATCTATCCAATTCACATAGATTGTAAAATATTTGTACAGGTTCACTAATCTAAATTAGGCTTTATCATATTCTTCAAAGTTTCCTTTTATTTATTGTAATTATAAAAGCAAATATAAGACTGATTTATTCCCTCAACAATGAGAAAATACTTATGATTATCATAATTGTAGTAATCAACAGCAAAATGGCAATGGGAAATATGGAAACATGCAGTTTAATCTCTAAAGTAGGAAAATGGCGTCAAAAGACACAGTTCAATTATTTGCAAGAAGAATTACTTAATCAAGAGGTGAATCCCATTTCTCATATATTTTGAAAAAATCAATATATTTTGAAAATCAATCCCATTTCACTTCTAATTATAATATATTTTGAAAAAAAATTAAAATCAATATAATTCTAATCAATGTGGTTTTTATTATATTAAATGTATAAAATAACTAATTTATTTAGTGAATTTGCTAGGCTCTACGTAGGGGAAAGCTGAAATTATGGGATAATAATATTTGGTGGGGGCTGGGGTTAATAAGTCCTAAAAGAAATGGGTCGATATTGGGAAATATAGAAATGTTGTGGCTCACAGGACAGGTCCCCCATTTGTTTTTTTTTTTTGGTTCAGGTGGTGGGTTGAGGAAAAATTTATCCTTGCCAATCTTCTTACGGGTAAATAGTAATAAAATTTTTTAAAAGAGATTAATGCATCATATTCATCTTTTATTCCTTTAGTCAAAAAATAATGCCAAAAATGTACATGTGGTTGCTTTTCATAGCGAAGAAGGAATGGAGGTTAACAATTTTTTAAGCATAAAATCAAAAAGAAAATCAATGAAACATTTCGCCATTAGAAAAGATAGCAAAAACCCAGAAATTCGGGTAAAGAAGGAACTTAACTTTACCTAAAAAGACAACCCAGAAAACCCAAAATTGAACTTGCCCATTGCCCAGATCTTATATTTGATTCACATGCAGGAAATATAGATAATGGGTCGTGCATAAAAATCCAAAATCCCTTTAAATCGTTGGTTTATGCATATGTATATTTGGAAGATGACAGAGATGTACTCCCGAGTCGTGAGTCGCGACTTGTAGAAAAGAGAAGAGAGGGAAAGAGAGCTTACTGAGTTGCGATCAGCAGTCAGACGATTTGCAATTGCACGATTTGCACCATGCGCAATCGATGGAAAGATGTAGAAATCGGAACAAGGGGCAAGGGCAGCCGCTCACTAACACTGGAGAAGAAGAGAGAAGTGAGAGACGGAGTATTAGGGTTTCTTTAGAAGATGAGACGAGGAATATAGAATAGAAGTAAAACGTTATATTAAAGAAAAGCAGGTTGGGTCGGGTTTTAAAAGATTTAACCCGCCACCCGCCCGTATATGGGCAGGTTATAACAAATTTAAAATGTTAATGAAATATATTAAACTTAACTACGGGTTACGGGTGGGTTATGGACGGGTCTGGAGACGGGTCAGGTTTAGCATTTTTTTTGCTCACCGCTAGTCCCAGTTATGGAAAAGAAAGACTATCCTTTACTTTTCCGCCCAGTTTGTCAATTTTTTTAGAAATGATCCAAAGAAAGTTGACCTTTTCAATAATAAAAAAACTATCCTCTAATGAATTGTACAATCATTGGATTTGTACCAACAAACAAAAAAGTAAAAATCTAACCAAAGAATTGAGAAAGGGAATTGATACTCTAGACAAAAGATCTCTTTCTCGGGAGATATTCGAGAAAAGGATTAGATTATGTAATGACAAGACTAAAAAAGAATACTTGCCACAAAAATATGATCCATTCTTGAATGGGCCACATCGTGGAACAATCAAAAAACCATTTTCACCTTTAATCATAAATAAAATTTCGATAGAAAATGTCCTAGAACCAAATAAGATTTATGTAATAACCCGGAAAAAAAAAAAAAAAAAAAGAGAACCCAGAAAATCGGCCAAACGAACCGGACAATTTCTGCTCCAATGAGCTTGAAACAGCTCAAAAACAATTTTTTTTACTTTACATTTAAGCAAATCGGAACTGGGTATAGGTGAAGGAACAAGAAATTTCGAGAAGAGAGGGAGAGCCGAGCTGGAAGGGGGTTGCGGTGTACGGTTTGGCCGACTGGGAAAAATCTTGTTTTGGGTTGAGTTCCTCCCGATTGATCGTGTCTAGGCAGCTCGAGGACGTCGGAATCGAGCTCAAGAAGCTTCGGTTCATTGGTAAGCAGCTTCTGGGGGGGGTTCTGGGTGATTCGGGTGCCGGGACCCGTTGCAGACAACCGGGTCTGCTGTCCGGGTCCCGGGCGAAGAAGACAGACCCGGGGGCTTCCCGGGTCTGTCCAGCGTTGACTGGGCCGGTTCGGCCCAGTCCGCTTTGACGAGGCCGGTTTAGGCCCTAAACCGGCCTGGACCGGGGAATAAAAACCGGTTCCCGGCTCAGGGAACCTTGGAGAATGTGCCTGGGCTGGTTTTAGGTGATAAACCAGCCTAGTTCATCTAGCTTTAAGGAAAATTTTTTGGGAAAACGTGTTGAACCGGCCGGTTTTTGTTATTTTGGGTTCGGTTCATGGGTGTAGGGCTTCGGTTCAGTGGTTTTTCATGAGGTTTTGGGCCGGTTCGTCATGGGTTTAAAGAGGAAAAACCCGATTCACCTTGGTTTTGGGGATTTGAGCCCGATTCGGCTCGGTTTACAGGAAATGGGCTTGGTTCAGCCCAGTTGGGTAGAGTTTGGCTGCGTTTAATTTCGGTTTAGCAGTTTAAGTTTAGAGTGGTTCGGGTATGAGGTTTAGGGGTCTCGGGATGCGTGTTTAGGGCCGGTGACGGGGGAGGTCCCGACCCATTTAGGGAGTTAAGTCTTTTTAGAATGAGACCTGATTTCGATTCTGACTTTCGATTTGATGATTGTAGATACTTCGGAGGAGACGCATCTCGAGCAGTGAGCCGTCGACACGAGTTTTGGTACCTCGTTTAGCGTGCCAGGTGAGTGAGTATTTTCTATACAGGCATCTGTATTTCGATTTTCTGACAAATTCTAGGGTCCTGATTCCTGGATTTGATTTCTGATTTCTGATATTCGAATTCGGGACATGTATTTATATCTTTTAAATTATGATGAATTTTGTAACATTTCTGTATTCATACATTTGCGTGCCTTTGTCATGCATGTGATTTAAAAGGTTACCTGTCGAGAGTTTTTGTGATCCGATTTCTGAGGAACACGGGGTGTTCCGGCACTATGTGCCATCTGTGATTTCTAACTTTGGTTTTGATACGGGATCCTGATATGATATGATTTCTGATGAGATCCGATACTCTGACAGGTGTTTGACATTCTGTTTCTGATTTCGATGTGTGAATGACATGCATACATATATACCTGTATATGTAATACGAACATATGTGAATTTGTAAACTGTGATCCATGTCCCGTCTTGTCTAGATTTTACTGTTATTTACTGAGTTTTATACTCATTCCGTTCCTCCCCCTTTCAGATTGCTGTTTCGATCGCAGCGGTAGCTTCTGGATCAGTTTTGTCCTCCGCTGCTTTACAGTGATGTACGGGCATTTTTGTGTATCATTTCTATTACTTGTATTTTAGAAGCTCCTTGTATTCCTCAGATACTTTTGACGCACATATATACACTTGCATTTCGGTACTTTTGCTACTGCGATACTTTCTGCTTTGACTTATTCGTAGGCTGACTGGGGTTGGCAAGCTAACCCTAGTGCCAGTCACGCTCCCAGGTTGGGGCGTGACAGATGTGGTATCAGAGCTGGTTCGAACCTGAGGATACTGGAGCAGGGCCTTTGGCAGTATTTCTGTTATGCCGGTGAGGGCCCCACCTTCATAACATGAGGACTGTTAGAAACCTTTTAGGAA